TGGAAGACTCATCAACATTAATAATGACTGAATTTCCGTTGCTGGCAGGGTTCCAAGGAGATTTGGTGATTTAAAAAAATATATACAAAGCTGCCGTTTCACGCAATACTGTCTTATTATATTTTTTAACATCTTTATCTTTATTCATAGTATTGTATTTGTTAACGAAGTTTAAAACACTGTCATCAGAACAAAAATTATTCAGTTTATTTTCAAAAGTCAACGTTGAAAAATACTGATTTTTTTTTTAACAAACGTGAATATGTTTTAAAGTAACATGGGCCAGTAATGCGTTGAACGAAATTATATGATTGAAAGTTTTTGCTAAATGCAGTTTTCTTTATTTCAGATTCTGGATGAATACAACCACTTGAATCCAGCGGGAGAAACGGTCATCACTTTTGAAAACATTGTGCCATTATGTTCCATGCTAAACACGGAATATGATGATGTCGCTTGTTGTGAGTCTTTTTTTAATACTATCCGCATCTCTGTTCCCATACCGGCAGAATCGACAGAGCAAAACCTGTACTCTACTGTAAATTCTGTAGGAACGAGAACAGAGCTATTTTTTACGATGTGGCTAGTTCTTGATAGGGGTTACTTGCAGCAAAGCGGGTCACTTAAGAAGGTGTTGCTATAGTTTTGCAACAAAGCATTGTTCTGCTGAATTCAACTCTTATTATGTCAGTAACGCTTTTTGCATACTTCGTGTATCGAATAAGAAATGGAAAATTTTCGTCTCAAAGTTTTCATGCAAAATTACATGCAGAAATGAAATATCTTAAAACTGTAGGATACTAGCGCATTGTCATTATTGAAGCCAAAAAAAAGTAACTGTAATTCATACATCATTATCTTGAAAACGGAACTGACCCAGTTTGCCCCGGATAACCCCCTACTATTTTCCATTCATGATCAAAAAAAAAATGAGCGGCAACAACAAAGCTACCATTTCCGCTCATTCGCCTTTTTCAATGATAGTAAATCGTTAACGTATCTTTTTGAAACAAAAATCATACAAAGCACTTTATGTATAAAGATCGTCAGTCGTTTGCGATCACATAGAAGATTCTTGTGTCAATCGCCATGAAAGCTGAACCACTATTTAATACAATGCCGTTTTCAGAACGTACGTTTCGAAAAATGACTTTATTTTGGAACAGCGTTACAAGCTTATTTTGTATATATATACCTGCTGACCCCGTTTAATATATATCTTTTATAATTCTAGGTGGAGTACGTGCTCTATTAAAGCTGATGAAACAATTATCTCAACAAGGGCGCACAGTCCAAGCTGATCCATCGGGGTTACCGCCTCTAGAAGACTATGCTTGTGTTTTCATCCGATGGAAACGGGATGAAGAGCATGATATTGATTTCATGATGCCAAGTCCGTTCATTTATTGCAATGCACTAGCTTTCGCAATTGGGAATTATTTTGTCATCGTGGAAGGAAAAAGCATTGATTGCGGGGACAACTTTTTTAAAGCGTATGATATATTGTATAAGACGTATAAAACGTACAATTTCCCGACGCCACATAAAGCGAAAAAAGTTTTTGAGTTTTTTGATATACTTGTTTATCAGGCGTATAAATTCAGCCGAATTGCTACCGTTAACAGAATGGTAGAGCGTATACGAACAGCTCTCAAGAGAGACAATTAAATCTTCATTACTGAAATCAAAAAGAGAGAAAACAACGCACAAAAATAAAAATTTAGATTGTAAACAGATAATCGCATCACCAAAATCAAACACATACAAGAACTTAAAACTTAAAAATAGATTTAAATTAATTGATGAGCATTTTAGTAGAATAATTGTACAACTTTTTACGTTGTTTTCTCCTTTGAATTGAAACTACCTAGTACTATAATTCAGAGGAGAAAACAACATTAAAAGGTTTTAAAAATAGATATACAAAGAGAAAACACAGTTCTGTTTAAGAACTTCAGAATGGTATACAGCGTATACGAACAGCTCTCAAGAGAGACAATTATATTTTCTTTACTAAAATCAAAAAGAGAGAGAAAACGCACAAAAATAAAACTTGAGATTGTTAACAGATAATCGCATCACCAATATCAAATACATACAAGAACTTAAAACTTAAACATATAAATAAATTGATTGATGAGTTTTTTAGTAACAACGTAAAAAGGTATTAAAAATAGATATATAAAGAGAAAACACAGTTCTGGTTATGAACATCACTTGAATCAGCTTCCGACATGATTCGAACGAGCAGTATTGCACAGCAACAAATTCAATGTAAAATGATTAAAACTGAATTTCTAAATGAAATCTTGAAATTTAATCAAGAAATGATTAAATATTAGTCATTAGCTATTATTTGCGATTTAATCACTGCAACATTAAAAAGTAAGCATTGCATGATTATTTCGATTTTATTCATGCATGATTACTGGCAAACTAATCTTGGCTCTGACTCAATAAGGCAAAGCGGGAAAATGCTTAGTTTTTAAGCATTTTTGATTTAATTTATATTTGAGTGTAGTGTAGTACTTTCGACTAGAATGGGATACCCTAATAAAAATAACCATAAAAGAGAGTTTAACGACGTGTTCGGGGTATCATCCGAACCATTTGTGGGATAGTTTATCCATCCGGGATATAGTTCGTTTATGGTATTTCTTTATTAGGGTACGCTTATAGATGTACTTGGGACCTATAGGCTAGTCAAGTACACACTAAGGGAACGGCCAGGGTAGACGCGACACGCGACGCGATGCGATGCGACTCACGCAAGGAATAATAATAAATAATTAGATTCTTTTGAATTGGTCGCGTCGCGTCGCGAATCGTGTCTACCCTGGCCGTACCCTAAGACTTTGTTTTCGTGTTCGGTAAATTTTACCGAAATCAGAACAGCTGAACGTTCGGTAAAACTTTGACCTTCATTTTAAAGGCTATTGAACTTGAAAATAATTTCAAAACTAAAGAGACTGAAGAGGCGACATCTTATCCATTTGACAGGTCGTCTGCTCGATTGGAATAACTTTTCCTATGACTTTGACAGATGATCCATTGTTCCAATTTTGACACGTCGTCTCTTTATAAATTCAGGCTCTTTATTCAAAATATGTTCAACCTTGCTTAAATGGCTCACTATAGTGAGCCAATTTAAAATCGTTATAACTATTGGCAAATCAAAGTTGGTACTCGTGGAGAATAGAAGAACTATAAAAGTGATGATGGTTTCAAAATTTTCCACGGGGAAGTATACGAGTGGAATCTTAAAATGCTTTTATTTTGCAAATGGAACATTTTATTTAAATCTGGTTGGTGCTATGTTAGTAGAAAACTTAAGGACTACTCAATAGACAAATAATATAGAAAAATTCATTTCTTTTCAGATTTTTAGCTGTACACATAGATTTGAGCTTTTCTACCACTGTAGCAGCAACCAGATTTAAATAAAATGTTCCATTTGCAAAATAAAAGCATTTTAAGATTGCACTCGTATACTTCCCCGTGGTAAATTTTGAAACCATCATCACTTTTATAGTTCTTCTATTCTCCACGAGCGCCAACTTTGATTTGCCAATTGAGAAATCCAACTTAAACTCCTGCGCGCCTGGTGGCAGGAATAAGCACTAACCGACGGTGATAAGTCTGTGACAGCCCTTGACAATTTCATTGATTGTTTGCAAAATTGTTTAATTTCAATGTAATTTCATGCAAATTTCTTGTCAGCATGGATGAACCTTGTACAAAATGCATAAAATTATTTTGTAATGCATTGTTCCTAAATAAAAAGCTACTTCAAGACAGTTAAATTACAGAAAACATGTTAAGGTTTGAAGTCATCTGCCGATTAAACAGCAGACAAAGTTGGCCGACTAAATCCATCGACGAAAAACTATTAAATAGGCCGATTGCTCGGTGTAGCACCAGACGAAAAACGATTTAATCTGCTGATTAATACACCGACTGAAATTAATTTTTAAGTGGCAATAGATTTAGTCGGTGGACGAATCGGGTGATCTGGATGATGTTTGTTTATTTGGAAGATATTTTCGAAACAAAGCACGATAAAATTCAGAATTATATACCATTATTACGAGTACTACTTTTTTGCTCGGATCATGTTTTGACTCCCACAGAAACTCGCTAGAATAAATACAAAATAATAGTTTTTTGGTTGAAATTTCAAAAATGTATTCAGTTTGACACATTATTTCGGACTTATCACCGCTGCGATTGCAGCGCCACGGTGGCCGATTGAAACTTGGATTTGTCAATAGTATCCACTAGAAATACTCAGAGGGAGAGATGGGCGGAGAGAATGTTTTGAACCAAATGAACTGTCAAAATCTGAGCCAATCGAACATTCCAATTAGAATTTTTCCGAGGATTTCTTATTCTTACTAAGATAAATTTGAGATTATTGCAATCGAACAGAAATTCAATCACCTTTATGTTTTGTGTGCTTCTCGAATTCAACTAGTTTTTGTAACCAAAAATAATATTCTAACTCTATTGATAAATTGATCTTCGTTGGTTAATGAATGGCACCAAGAAATGTGCAAAATATTGCGATGCAATCAATTATTATTTTGCACGTAAATCGAATCAAAAATAAAAGTCATTTGAAATGCTACCCTAATAAAAATGTTTTGGTTAATTTGCTTAACGACGTGTTCAAGGTATCATCCAAACCATTTGTGGAATAGTTCAATGATTTGGGTTATCGTTCGTTTATGGTAATTTTTTATTAGGGTAGCTTCTAGCAAGGGTTGCAAGATAATTTAGGAACAAATCCCTGCTGCCGAATTGTATTTTGTTTTCTCCGTCTATCTCTCCCTCTGAGTATTTCTAGTATCCACCGGTTGCTATATTATTCTCATTGGCCATGCAGGGTACCTCCGTTTTATGATGAACCTTGAACAACAAATGTCACTTTCATGCATTCGCCATATTTTTTTCTAAGGGATGTTTTGCATTTTTCACTCATCGTCTGTCACAAATTTTAATATGTCGATTGAAAGTTCGTGAAATATTGTTCCAGAGAAATTTTACGAATATACTAGTAAAAACGAACAATTTTGATCAAAATAATGGTGAGTCGATATCATTTCGCATCCGTAGACGTGAATCATATGCATGTTAAGATAAGGGACATGGAAATAAACGTACCCTATTTTGGGATCTCCTTCGAAAATATTTTGCTAAAGAAAAATTGTAAAACAACAAAAATAAAAACTTTATTTCTTGATATTTGCAGAACAAGTTAAAATTAAACCAGAAGGACAAGGTGAAGAAGTTCATATCCCTCACACAGACAGGAGAGCAGACAGCAATATACTGTTTGCAAAACAATGATTGGAAGTTGGATCTGTCGTGTGACAATTATTTCCAGAATCCTGACATTTACTATCGGGAGCTGGATCGAAAGAAAATCGAGCAGCTTTTCATTCGCTATCGCGACCCTGCTGATCCCAATAAGATAAATTCGGACGGCGTAGTCAAATTCCTGGACGACTTATACCTTAGCCCGGAATCCAAGCTAGTGCTCATTATCGCCTGGAGGTTCAAAGCAGAAGCACAGTGCGAGTTCAGCAAGGAGGAGTTTGTAAATGGCTTCGGTGACCTGGGCGTAGATAGCGTAGATAAACTGAAAGCCAAGCTGCCTGTGCTAGAGATAGAACTGAAGGATCCAATGAAATTTAAAGACTTTTACCAGTTCACTTTCAACTACGCAAAGGATCCGGGCCAGAAAGGGTTGGATTTGGAGATGGCAATTGCTTACTGGAATATAGTACTTAAGGACAGGTTTAAATTTTTGGATCTCTGGTGCAAGTTTCTGGTGGTAAGTACCGCATTGTAAGCTGCATAAAATATTCCGTGCTTTGATCTTAAAAAATGCTATTGTGGAACAGAAAGATTTTCAGATCATGAACACCTTCTTTTAGACTTGATGCTCATTCTTGTTCAAACTGGGTCCTCAGATAGCCTAGTCAGTAAAAACATGGTAATAGGCATGGTTCGATTCCCGGTCCGGTCGAGGAAATCTTTTGGGTTGGAAACTTTCTCTACTTTCCTGGACATAGACTATCAAACAATTTCATGCATTATTTGAAAGCTCTCCATTAGTAACCGTGAAAGTGCATCTAGAACACTAAGTTGAGAGCCGGCAAAAAGCATGCTACAGAAGCGTAAAAGCCTAGAAGATGAAGTGTTGTTCAGACTAGAGTCTTTATAACAAGTTAAAATTTGAAATAATAATTGACAAGATAAATTACATCAAAATAGCACGATATTATTATGTTGGTATCCATTTCTAGATTGGCATTTTGAAAGCTTTCAAGCATTATACTGCTCTTTTAAGCATAGCTGTCCCATTCGTTAAAACAGCAAGCTGCGAAAAACGCTTTTGAAGATTTTTCTTTCCATGGGCTCTTATGGATGGGACAACATAGTTTTGGTTTTTTTCGCGACATTTTCTGAACAAAATATGAAAATTTTCGTGTACATTGTAAAGTGATGGTACTTAACAATTGATTCCAATGTATACCTCATTTCGCCAAAAATGCTAATGGGAATGTTATGCCGCACAGGGCAGTATAGCGTATAACTTATTCAATTCGAACATTGTATGTTTCATTTGTTTGTCGTAATGCTCACTAAAGCCAAAATTCATAGGATCTGCTCATATATTTAAACCAGAAATAAACAGTTTGTAATAAACATCTGAAATACTCAAAGTGCATTAACAGTTTGATTTTACCATACTGCTGTCAACTCATACCGTATTTGTTTTTGATTCAGCTCCAATCTAGATCTGCCGTACCATCTAGAACAGAAGTTTTATAGTTTACGCTCTGCACGAATCGTTAGAATCTGTGACGAGCCATACAAAAAAAAATAAGGTCCATACAAAAAATGTGACAAAGGGGGGGGGGGGAGGGGTAGAAAATGGGCCGAATTTGCGTGACATAATTAATGGACCTTCTCTGCCGTTCTACGCATATCAGTCCCATGTTTCAAAAGTTGCTTCTGAGAAAATCGCGAATAATGTTTCGAATCATTTCTGCTCATTGGAAGAAATATGCGTTAAAATAAGTTAGCGCATTGTTCACATTTCAACAGAATCAATATGTTTTAGTGAAAACTACAGAAATTACCTTCAATGAAATCAGTTAAGCCTATTTTTATACGAACAATATGTAATGGGACTGTTATGCCTAGAAATTTGCACTGAAGTAGGAAATTCTACGCATGTTAGTCCCACTAGGAACTGTTACTGACAGTGTTCCTTTGATGGTCACGTTGCGTTTGTCGCATTTGCTCTTGTGATTACATGAGCGTGCTTGCGTTCTTCGCAGTTTTGGAAGATCCTGGATAGTTTGTATAGCTTTCCATCATTAAATTATACCAACAATAAATTTTTTGACACTTCTATAAAACCATTAAAAGTATGGGCATCTCAAGAAACTAATGATTTAGAACATAAACTTCTTAGCATCTTTTTCTACTCCTTAGCAAGATGAACGTAGGTCTAAAGGAGATTGTGCTTAATCATTTTGAGTCCGACCATAGATTTAAGGCTGACATGCTGTAGATAAAAGATCAATATGTCACACGATCGTTGAACGTGGGCTTCGATGATTTCAAGAAATACTTTGCAAATTTCTTCCGTACGGAGTTGACCCAACAATCAATACGAAACTAACGATTTTAAATTGGCTCACCACTTTAGTAGCCTATTGGTCCCAAGCAAACGATTAACGTACCCTATTCTAGTTGAAATTATATTACTACACTATGTTTGTTTTGATTCGCTATGAAAGTTTGACAGATAACATCAGGGGTGTTGATTCATGCAGAACATGCAGGGGTGAGTGAAATAGCTTGGGACTGCTTGGGACCGTTGTTCTGGTACTGAGTGAGCCAAAAATAATAATGATTTTCTTCGGGACCCAGTGGTCTTAGAGTTACCTCTATGGTTGACCTTTATGCTACGTATTATTTCATGAAACACGTAGACATTAGAGAGGGTCTAGTATAAGAGAGGAGCGGACTAGCTGGGTTTGAACCAAACGAACTGTCAAAGCCAGAGTCAATCAAGCAGCGCCTATCTGGATTGCATTGGCAGTGTTGCTAGAAACTACCCACGCATAGGTTGCCAAGGCAGTTTGTTTTGAATCCGCTCCTCTTTTATACTAGACCCTCTCTAGTAGACACTATAGGGGGAGTGTGGGGGGTGGCGAGTTCCTACGTTAGTGTCTAATATTGCATTGTTTGAAATTAGAAACTTGCGTTTTAATATGAAATCCAGTTTTTCTTAATATGTAAAGGGTGTCCACGATGAAATTGCCACACTATGAAATTGCTCTAACTTTTTAACCGTTGGGTAGAATTTAATGAAAATTTGGGTGGATTTAGTTCATAGTGCATTATTTACATCCTGCAAGTTTTAAAGTCCTGTGATCAAAACTCGCGGAAATGGAGTCGAAAGAACAGCTCGTGCGTGATAAAATCTTGCGCATTCATCACGAGAACAAGGATCTCTCGCATCGTTCCATCGCTAAAACGTTGGGAATCGCGAATTCCACGGTGTCGCGAGTGATTAAGCGGTTCGAGGAACGGTTGACCACCGATCGGAAGCCCAGAAGTGAAGGAAAAAGTATTTTGTACAACACCAAAAATCACAACTGCGTAGTTGGGGCCTTCAACCGAAATCCGAACGCCTCCGTTAGGGATGTGGCTAAGAAGCTGCACCTAAGCCAAAGTTTTGTCCAGAAGGCCAAAACTAAGGCTGGGCTTCGAACGTTCAAGGTACAAAAGGCCCCTAATCGCGACGAGAAGCAGAACAAGTCCGCTAAAACCCGTGCCAGGAAGTTGTACCTCAACATGCTGACGAAAGTTGAATGCTGCATCATGGACGACGAAACATATGTGAAGGCCGACTTGAAACAGATCCCCGGCAACCTGTTTTTCACGGCCAAGGATAAGTTCAGCGTTCCGGAGCATGTCCGCACTCAGAAGATGTCCAAATTTGCGAAGAAATTCCTGGTTTGGCAAGCCATCTGCACGTGCGGGAAGCGGAGTGCACCTTTCGTGACCCAGGACACAATGAACGGATAGGTGTACATAAAAGAGTGCCTCCAGAAGCGGCTGCTTCCTCTCCTGAAGGCCCACAACGTCCCAACAATCTTCTGGCCGGATTTGGCCTCATGCCACTACTCCAAGGACGTGCTGAAGTGGTATGCGGACAATAAGGTCAATTTCGTGCCGAAAATGTTCAACCCTCCCAACACTCCGGAGCTCCGCCCCATCGAGAAGTACTGGGCGATTATGAAGCAGCACCTTCTTAAACGACCTAAGGTAGTGAAGACAGTCGAGGAACTGAAGAAAGTATGGGTTTACATGCAAAAAACGGTTGATTCACAGGTTGTGCAGAATCTTATGGCCGGGGTTAAGGCCAAGGTGCGGGCATTTGCGTATGGACTGTAAATAAAATACGAGTAAAATGGTAAAATGAAGTTTAATAGTTATTTCTCAATCCCTGAAAATTTGATGGCAATCGGATGAAAACTCGAATTTTGCGAATCAATTTTGTGTGTGGCAATTTCATCGTGGACACCCTTTATCAACATTAAATAAAACTGTCACTTCCGAAAATGGTTCATACTGTTTCCTTTAATTGTATAAATCCTGTTTCAATAATTTGTGTACACCAATCGATTCGTTAATGATAAATTCAGTCGAGAAAATCTTTGTGAGACAGTTATGCGTAGAATTTCAACATGGGACAATTAGGCTTGATGTTGTTTTTATACAAACCCAGAACAAACAATATGTTTTTCTATTTTCAATCCAAAGTCTACCTAAAAAGGTACTGTTTTATGAACAAAAGTGAAAAACGCCCAAAAGTAACATGGGACAGATATGCGTAGAACGGCAGTTCTCTAATGCAGATATTCGAATGCTTATAATTTCTGCGCAAGCATATTACAGAGCATTCAAGAATTGCTTGAATTTCTGCTTGGAACACGGTTTAGAAAATGACCACCTTGGTGGGATTGGTTTGTTATAAATTTGAAAAAGGAGACTACTATTTACAACTACAACTAACCTACAACTACTATATACACGTAATCTACTATATACAAATTGCTTATTAAAGCATGTTCTTATGTACTATATTGCATTTTTGTACAACCTAGTCTTAATGTCAGCAATTTTGATGTCTAATTTAGGAACGCTGGCCTCTAGATGGAGATAGGAAATTCTTGTATCGAAAGGACGATCAAGTACCATCCTCAGCACTCTATTCTGAGCGACCTGGATTTTGTTCCTGTGAGATCGCAGGTGCTATGATTTGTTTGTAGACAGCCAGTTTGAGAGGCGGGATCTGCGGCAAGCACGTTCATGCATTTCGTGTTAGTTCTCCATCCACTGAAGCAAATACAACAGCAATAAACAAATAGCGCCAAAAGGAAACAGCGATTAGTACCTATTCGTTCCGTACCCTCCAATTCCAACTACCCTTTCGATGGACACCAGGAAAAAACAACAGGGCCACCAATTCAAAAACGGAAAGAGTTAAGATAGTAGATTATCGATCAATTAAAAGAACTAAAGGCTCAACATATTTGCTCCGTCCACTAGCGGTCCTACGTCAAGCTTCCGTTCGTGCCCCTAGGCACAGACCCTTCTACTTTTTTTCCTTGTTCAGTTCATCCCCGGTGGATAAAGCCGAGTATTGCCACTATCAACAAGGCATAAAAAGTAACAAGCACTAAGATGTGTTCCTTTGATTACTGAAAAATACTGGTCCCCTAGTTTGAAGCAGTCAAGACTAAG